GATCGAGTACGTGAAGTACGGAGGAATTTATAGTTAGACGTTGGTTGAACACTTACGTTACGATATACACCCACTAGAAGCCTGATCGTAACACCGCACTTATTTGTAGGAGGTGACAAAAATCCCCTTACCTGAGATGAATAACTAGCTGAATGTAGCAATCTCTCTGCTCCGGAAATTACTACTAAAATTATCTTAGTGCTTTATGCCCGCTTTATTGAAAGATTTATAACGATTATGCATATTCAATGATTGCTAATGATTTATTTTTCAGTTCTTTTTTGTGCGGAGTAGTAGGAACTTTCATTTTAGCCTCAAAATTTCGCTTATATTCCAGGAAAGCGACCTCGTCCATACTCTCGCGCTCTTTTTTCTTTTTTTTCTCTCAAGTTCGAAAAAAAAGTGATACTCCAAGGTATATTTAACTAATTTTCATTAATTATTTTTTTCAAATAATATAAATAAAAGGCATATTCTATAGCACTATTTATATCTAAAGAAATCGATTCTTCATCATTTTGAAGAAATTTTATAAGCTTTGTTTTTACGTCATTTTTTTTGCCAATTTGGATTGATATTATCTTGAGAACTCATTTTGTATAATAACTGTTTCATATAATTTTTAAGAATTAATAAATTTATTTAACTTCTATTTTTTCTTCATTATCTGACGATCCACATATCCCGTAACCGCTCACTTTTCCTCTCAAATCCTCATGTGTGTCTCACAAATCACATAACTTCAATAATTAATAGAATAAGAAAAATATATGCCAATAGTGGTGACATCAAAGTGCTTGCCACAACAGGCAGAGCCTCGAGACTAGGTCTCATCGCTCCTATTTCTCCTATCGGAATCTGGGAATTCGATTCAATCAATGAGGGAGTATAATTTTCTGGCTGTGCAAGGTAAGAGATCATATTCTCACTAATTTCGTTAATGTTAGTTCCCTCATTTATCTTTGGGCTAATCTCAGTATCGATTCTTGATGGTTCGGTATTCTCATCATTAGCGGAGCAAGTATCAAAGGTACTAGTTTGTATTGAAATACTATTGTCGATTTTTTCAGCTTGATCCATACTTTTTCCGGATATAAAATACTGTCTAAGATTTTTGCTAGGTTTACTAACTGCAGATATATCATTAGACTTGGTCATATTTTTTTCGTCACCTCCACCAAGTACGGGGTTTGATATAGCCTCCGATTTCAGACACTCAAGTTCACTGACTTTCGAAGCTAACTCATGTTCTACTTCCGCTATTTTGGATTTGAGAGACGTGATCTCAGTTTCTTTTTTCGATGAGTCATTTTGAATCGAAAACACATCTTTCTGGGCTGAAGACAACTTACCTTCCAATATCTTAATCATAGACTCAAGCGATCTAATTTTCTTAGATTTTATATCATTCTCAGCTTTGGACTTTGCAAGAGAAATGTCTTTATTAGCGTTTTCAATCTGTAAACGCCTAGCTTCATCAATGAGTTCGAGATCATGAGTACGTAATTTCTGAATCATAGCATTGGACCCACCCAGTTTCTGACTCCATTTTTTTCTCTCCTGTTCCCAACCTCTCCGTTCACGATCAAAATTTTGCTCTTGCTTTATATACCTGTCTTGTAATTTTTTATTACGAGAATTTAACCCCGATATAACTTTTACAATACGAGATTCTTTATCTTGTGCATTGGCCATATATTTTGGCTAAACTATGTGTAATAAAATTAAGATAAATCATAAAAATTTCGATTATTAGAAAATGTCTAAAAGATTTCGGTTAAATAAAACTTACCTCCCGTCTGAAGTAATTTGTGAGATAATAAATAGTAAAGGTATGCAAAATGCAATATTGATTTTAACTAGAAAGTATCACATATCACATACACGTATTTATGTTATATGGAAATTTGCAGATATGGTAAATAATTAGTACAAATGTTTATACATATTAAAATTTTTTTAAATATTCTGAAACATACACAAATATTTTGAAATATTTCGAAACGTATCAATATATATCAAGTTATAGCAAAATGTTTCAAAAATTTTCTTTATTTTTTTAATAGTTCATAAACAATAAAAATATTCTAATATGAGTCATATTCATAAAGAATATTATAGTACTAATGCAAGATATTTATCAGATAAGACCATCAAAGACATTAAAACATCATTCAGTAGGGTACCTGATGCCATAAATACAATGGCAAAAAAATATTGTATATCTGTTTCTTGAGCCAAAGAATATATTGAGAATTGGGAACGTAAACAGCAAATGATAGATTCTTATCCATCTCAGGTATAAAGTACAATTTCTTCCAAAATAACATCTGTATCTCTAGACCCAAAGGGTCATTGCTTCGCAATAAATAATTAATTAGAAGATAACTATACACCTTTATTACAGAGCAGGCCATTAGGTGATGAATCGGAGATTCGAGACTCTGTCTCTTCTTTGAATCATAGCTCTTCGAGCCTACACACTTCAGTTAAAACTTCAAATCAACAGATAAAAAAGAGGTGATCAAAACCCAAATCTATTCGAGTTTCTGATTTATCCACTATTAGTGATATCCAAGTTGAACAAGCATTAAATGAGGGAGAGAAACGAATAGAAAGTTCAGATCATATATTAAATAGTCACTCTGTGTCTATCACCAGCAATTCTTAATCAGTTTTCTTTTTATTCATGATTTCATATTTTGATTGTAAAAGTCTATTATGAATATTAAGCTCGGTAATGATTTTGATAGCTCTCTCACAATTTACGCATTTTTTTTAAAGTCGAATCATCAGAATCTAGACTAAAACCCGCAGGAGCATGCCATTCCTCCAATGGATTATTATCACTCTCATTACTATCCGCCTCTTGAGAAATTTGATCAGGTACCAAAGGCTTGTCATCCCGAGTTGCAGTAGCGCAATTTACTTCGAGCTTGTTCTTGACTTTGTGCATAGTTACTGGAATAATGTGATCCTTCCCATTGAAAGGAATTTTCAATTCATCTTTCCTCCAATCTATAGCGCATTTATATTTCTTGAGAAGTGGGTTTGGAAATATTAATGTTGGTTTAGGGACACGTACAACTACAAAATCTTCATGTATAGTAAAACCTGGAGGGAATGTTATTGAAAAATTACGAGCAATGCCTATAGATTCTGTTGGAACTGTTGCAACACCACTAAGATCATATTTTTCTGATTTATCAATTGGCCAATTTACACATTTAACAATATCTTCTGATGTAATTGGAGATTCAGTCCCACTATCGAACACCAATGCTGGAATTTTTAAGCATTTGATTTTACACGGTATAGTTATAATACTTGTGTCAGGTTCTTTCCGACGAACAAAATCTATCTCTATAGGATCGTCCAGCGTCTCCTCTTCACCATCTGATTCTGGTATCTCTGTTATTAGTTCTCGATAATTTACAAAATCTGGAGTAGTTAAGTATTTATCTTTAGATTTAAGTTTCTCTAACTGATGTGGAAGTAAGACCTTTTCAAGCATATCTAACAAAATTCGATGAATATTTTGCTCAAGGGTAGTCATTTTATTTTGAGACTTACTAGAGGTGGCAACACCTTTCTGTTTAGTCTTATAAGATTTAGGTATTTTCTTAGAGGACGATCTACCCTTCCACTTTACTTTTTTTTTTGAATTAACAGCATTGATAATTTTCGTAATTTCAGTCTCAGTTAAGTCATTCATAGAATCAGATTCCGATTCAGAACCAGTTCCAGAGTCAGAGTTGGAATCATTATCCGAAGAGTTAGTATCAGACTCAGAATCTGAATCTATAGAAACATTATTGATATTACCTTTCTTCTTGGGCCCGCTCTTAGATTTTCTTTTCCGAGTACACTTGCGAGAATTATGTCTGGTCCTATTGCAATTTGAGCATCTGTGTTGGAATGTTTTCTTAATCTCCTTCTTGACCTGTCTAGATATAGTCTTATTTATTGACAACTTACTCATATGATTAGCCAGTTTTTCATCCGAGTCGACTTCGACATTTTTTGATGCATTCCCTCCATTTTTCTTAGGCAAGAAGGAAGAAAATTTATCAAATACTCCTTTAGAAATTGTAT